ATTACTGTGATCTTCTGGTAGAGAGTAATTAAATGTTTGGGATCAGTGACATCATGCCCTTGAAAGAGAAGTTTCTTTTGCTGAGACATGGGAAAGATGGTCCTGGAATTTTCTAGAGGAGGTGTGATAGAGACAAACCCATACATTGGCCCTTCCAGGCCAGCATATCAGGATTCAGATACATCCTCTTCTAACTCAACCCAGACCTTGTCAGGATAACTTGGTGAAACTTCTCTGAGCCTCCGTGAGCCCACCTGCTCCATGGAGACGAGGGACTGGACCAGAAAACCTCAGTGTGACTGACATGGACCCCTGAAGTGCTTGGCCAAACAGAGCAGTGTCTGTGGCTTTGACTTTTCTTTTGGGAGGGAGGAGTCCCAGGTTTAATTAGAATTTTAAGTGGGACCCAGTCCTTCAAAAATGAAAAAATAAAACAAAGGCACTAGAATGAAAGAAACAGAAGCTTAGACTCACAGAGAGACCATCTTGAGGGGTGTTTCTGTGCTTTAGCGTTATCATAGGGAAATCTAAAAGCAGGTCATGTCCATCTCTGGCGTTGAACCCTCCCCTTGCTTCCCACAGTCCTCAGGACAACATCCCGTCTCCTCAAAGTGAAGGTTGTGCCAGAGGGTGGACCAGTACGACTGTATGTCGTTCCCGTTCATTCGTTTGCTCACTACATGTGGAGCCTGGCTTTGTTGTCTGCGACACGGATTAAAATGGTAATCCAACAGAATATGCTCCTCTAGTTTAAGAGATGGGGTTTTGCTATATCATGCCCAGGCTGGGTTACTGAATTGTTAACAGTCAAATAAGACAAATGCCCCAATACAAAGGACTGATGTCATCATTCCCCTGTTAAGGTGTGGGAGAGAAATGTTTGCAGCCCTGGGCCCTCCATGTTCTGCTCCCCCCCAGGACCTCTCTGTCCTCATCTTCTGCTCGTGTCCTCGCTCGCTCTGCTCCAGCCTCACAGGCCTCTTTCCTTTCCTGGGACGAAGGTGGCTCCTGCCTCAGGGCTTCCACATGGGCTGTCTGTCTAGAACTCTCTGGCCCTCCCCTGCAGGTGGAAACATCCTTCCTTCCCCAGGTCATTGTTCTGACATCCCCTTGTCAGTGGAGGCTTCTCCCACTTGCCCCCATTTAAGATTCCAGCCCCATCCTCACCCCCTCCACTGGTCCATATTGCCTGTTCCGCATGTTTCTTTTCGTTCCTTCGCCGTTCACTGTCTGGACACTGGTGGCAACACGTTCCCAAGGGGACAAGAGCACAGGGAGGTGTGCTGGGCCTGTCCCTCTGAGCAGAGCTCACCTGTGGCTCCACATTGGGGTGCTGAGGCATTGCAGATACAGCTCTTGTGCCCCCTTCGCAGAGATTCCCATTCACAGAGTCTAGTTGGGACCCTCCTTCAGTAATATTTGCAGTGCCCCAAGTGACTCCATTCTGTGTCCAGCGTTGAGTGTCAAGGCTGAATTTCTTTTATTTCTATGGGCTGAGATGAGCCTGTGATCCATGCAGGGGTGAGGGCGCTGTGCTCTGCATCGGGTTTGGTCAGGGCCATAGCTGTGCCCTGGGGGGAGCTCAGCCCAGGCCAGCCCCCCACCGCTGCAGCGTGTGAGTGGCTTCACCACAAGGGGAGCGAGTTCTGCACAAAGGTGACGAAGACTCACTTGTTGGGCTTCGTGTAGGGGTGTTTCATCCTCGCATCCCCCCTGGTGCAGTGGGTAGCAGAGGACCGTCTTTCTGGAGGGTGAGATCTTCCTTTGTGTGTGCTGTAGCACAGGAAGGGGGTGTGTGGTTTCTAAGCTTTAAACCTCCTATTTTTGACCTTCAGGATTGACTTCTAAAGACTCATGTCGGGTGAGGAAGAAGCCTGGACGCGGGGGAGGAGGAAAGAAAAGGAGTCAGGAATGGCTCTTACTCAGGTAAGGTGAGATTCTCAGTGGCTGGTTCTGAGTCTCCCTCCTTTCTGACATGCGGGCACTGGAGTTGCTAATCTTCTCTGACTGTGCAGCGTCCTGCCTGCTGTGTTTGCTGCTCACACTCACCCCTGCCTTAGTCCCTCTCATCTCCACTGAGATTCAATCTCGCTGTGACCCGGTGACATGACCCTGTGAAGAGGCTCCTTTGGACACGGTCCTGGGAAGGGCTTCACACCCAGACGTGGGCTGGAGATGGGCGTGGCCCTGTGGTGTCAGTGCTGTTGGGCAGCCGGGACTGTTGAGGGCCCATGTCCGGATGCACTGTCCGCTGTCTGTAGAGGAAGATGAGAGAACCTGCCCATAAGTCATGCATTAATGTGCACAGACACCTGCTAAATGCTCTACAAAGGGAATAATCAGGAGAAATCTTTTCCGACTCATTTTCATTACCTTTGTAGCTAAATCAGTGAGTCACTGACTCAAAGCCTTAATGACAGAGTGGGGTGGAAAGTTTAGACACAGACATCAGTGACAGAGGATTCTTTCATTCCATCATCTGTTTTTGCTATAACATAAATATCAAAGAGCAGGAGCTTCATTAAACCACTCTCAGACAGTCCACAGCACAGATGGTGTGGTCTTCCTGCAGGGCCTCCTGGGCAACAGGTGTTTTAGCTAAGAACGGTTATAATTTTGGGACCTGGGAGCAGCACTTCTTTGCCATTAGAGAAGATGGAACTATATTTTTGTTTTACCAATTATTATTAAATATTCCATTTTATTGGAAACATCACACGACATATATTTATGTTATAGTAAAACTCCAAACAAACTTGCTTAGCTTAGGGGCTAAGGCATAGAGCACCCCCTGTCCTGTCTGGCCTTCGACCCTCCCTCCCGTGTTAGTGGGGAATCCCTGTTGTCAGTTTCGTGGTGAGAGCACAAGTCCTGTAGAAACGTCTACTTCATTATGACATTAGAAAGTAAAGTTCTTCAGTGAATGCATTGTTTTGACATTTTAACCTGCAAGCTTCAAAAATGTGTATGTTTTTGTTAAGAAACATTTACGGCTAGCTTGCTCTAGAATTCTACTTCCTTGTTGGAGCATTCTGCTAGTGAAGACAGGTGGATGTTTTAGCTTTCGCAGTGTTAACAAAGAATGCCACAGTGGCTGCCTCTGAGCAAGTCACCTTCCCTGTAGCTGTCAGAGGATTCCTCCAGATTGGGCGTTTGAAAGAGTGATTGCTTCTAGGATGGTGCCTTTCCTACCTTGCTAAATCTGGCAACATTCCATCTCCACCTCAGCTGCAAAGGTACCCTCTCCCACCAACGACACAAGAGACTTCCCCATCATTAAACAAAACTTGCTACTGTGTTCTTTTTACAAGTTCTAAATCTGGGCAAAAAGGCAATCCCTTTCGTCCCCTACATTTTCTGATTCCTCA